GTTTGTTTGTTTGTTTGTTTGTTTGTTTGTTTGCGTGCGTGCGTGCGTGCGTGCGTGCGTGCCTGCCTGCCTGCCTGCCTGCCTGCCTGCCTGCCTGCCTGCCTGCCTGCCTGCCTGCCTGCCTGCGTGCCTGCGTGCCTGCGTGCCTGCGTGCCTGCGTGCCTGCGTGCCTGCGTGCCTGCGTGCCTGCGTGCCTGCGTGCCTGCGTGCCTGCGTGCCTGCCTGCTTGCCTGCGTGCGTGCCTGCCTGCGTGCCTGCGTGCATGTGTGCGTGTGTGTGTGCGTGTGTGCATGTGCGCGCGCGGTTTGTGCATGCGTAGGTATGTGTATGTGTGTGTGTGTGTGTGTGCGTGCATGTGTGTGTGTGTGTGTCTTCGTGTGTCTCCGGTGTGTCTTTACCTGTGTACCACTCGCATGGTTACTTCTCAGCGAATATAGCTAGAGTCAGCTAGCTTAGCTAGAAGATAAACTCGAAAGACTCCAAACCGTCTGTGTGTTTTGTATGTTTGCATGCCGGCTGTCTGCTGTCTTTTGCATCGGGGTGCTTCTCAAACTTCCCGTGATTGACGATGACTCTTTCAGGAAAGATGTGTTACACAAGGGAGCGGAGACAACATGTGAAAACATGACCAATGGAAACATGCCATCAAACATTCCACTTCATGCGAATGTGTTCTTGCGGTGGCTCCGGTCTGTTGGCAATAGTTTCGACAGAGTTGAGTCAGTTTAATGTGAATTTGTGCGTGTGTGTTGTTTGTGGTTGCAGGTGCATGCTTATATCTTCACGAGTTGACTGAGTTGTGTTGGCATTGCATGCTTGATTCTCTTGCAGTTGTTGCAGTCGTCTTGCACATTTTCAGCATGTTCTGGTATGTGTGTTGTTTTGTGCATTTCGGAACAAACTTTCGATAGTCTTCGGGTACATGGGGATGCCCGGATATTTTGTTTTGTTGTTTTTTGTGGGGTGATGCTTGTTCAGTCATTCAGCATATGTTCATGTATCGTTTTGGCACGTTGCCGGTTTTTTGGAATGCCAATATAGGACTTTGTGGTATAATTTGGGAGGCTAAGGAGCTCGATGGATCTTTATGGTGTTTTCGTACCTATTCGAACATAAAAAAACTCGGGAAAGATACCCGAAAGGCCCAAAAGGTTTAAGTGAATGACGTTTACGCGAGGTGTCCTTACACATGTGGGCCCCCAGCCATGAGCATGCCGACGCCCTCATGACTGGACTGCCTGTCTAATTCATCGACGCGCATAAACCACAAGAGACGACCGTCCCCTTATGTGTTATAAGAAGACTGTCACCATGATGTGCCTGTCGAGGCCTATACCTTTGCAGAAGACTTGCGAACTTTCCAGGTGTCAATCACAACAGTTGCAGTCGCAGTTGCTACATTGCGGGGTATAGCCGCCCCGCAAGAAGTGTAGCTTACCGTGTCAAACATTTGTGTGAGCGGGATCCTCGCGCTCGCCTTCAAAAAAATCGATCTGCAGCGTTCGGCAACGAAGTGGAGGTTTCATTCACATCAACTCTCCACCTAATCAGTTGTTCTCGACAGGCATGTTATTGTGACGTATATAGTCACGCAGTTGCCGGGCTATGATCTTTGCACAGACTATGCCAATGCACGAGTGTCAAAGTCTTTGTTGGTTTGTCCCTCCTCCCTCCCTCGCGCCTGCACTGCGCTGACAAGCATAATGTCTTGGGTGCTGTCGTAAGTTGAAAACACTCACACTGATTTCCAGCCCGGCCCTCAGAATGTCTTCTTGTCACGACTCACGCCTGCCCGACTGCAGATCAACAATGTCGGGATGTCCTACCCTTTCACGAAGTACTTCCACGAGCTCAAAGACTCCGAAGTTGCGGACATCATGCAGGCATTGGCACTGCGTGCTGTTGCCTCTGTCTAGTCGGCGCATGTTGCTGCGACAGCTCGCATGCTGAAACTGTTGATCTTATCACCGCTCATGTCATCGCCCCTGGACTGGGCACGTGTGACCAGCTCGGCATTCGCGGAATTATTTGACATAATTGCCTCCGGCTGTAAGCTCGCATTGTCGTCTCCTGAAGCGTGAAAGATGTCGGGTCCGGTGCAGGTCAACATGGACTCAATGACGTGGATGACCCGCATTGTCCTGGGAGAGATTGACGAGGCTTTGCTTCTTGCATGACTCGCCCGAATGGCTGTTCGAGCGTTGAGTGCGCCGGGAGTACATTGGCCCACAGCCTAAACCGAATAATGCTCGTACAGTGAGTCTCGTCGAGCCAGGGACAACAAGAGCGGAGCCATGTGCCCCACGTTGACTGGATTCAGAACCTTCCAGCCTATAAGCTTGGCAAAAGCAATCTTGCAACCTACCACGAAGCCTTCCATACCGGTTGTGCAATAACTTTGCATTATGAATCCTCTTTGTCATGGCTTGGTCTGTTTCATATGATCATGTACGATTGGCTTCATACCAGTCGTAGCAGAGTTGTGTTCACGATTGAGATCTGCTGTTAGCACGGATTGCCTTGTTTCGTATGCTGTTCGAAGCACATCGGTTGGACATCAAAGATACACTCTACATGTCGTTGATACACCCACAAAGCCGCGTGGCCGTTACAACTGTGGTAAAGTCCTCGTTTAGGTGCCTTCCGTTTGTTGGCATCCTCATCTCAGAACGCTTGCGGAGGACCTAAAGCCCAAGAGCGGGATGCTTTTGCGCAAGCGTGGCGCCATCATCAACACCTCCTCTGGAGGGGCTCGGCACCGCGGCGAGAGGATTTGGCCATGACAGGTTGGACTTTTCGCGAGAGTTCAGGTGCACATTGAGGGTAAGTCTAGTGATGTCTAGTGTTTGGGCCTTCGATGTTGACAGGGCGGGGGCCATGTGTCAGCAAGGTGAATTCTGAAGCAATGCTGTTCTACAGTAGCAATGCCGCTGCTGTTTGTCTGTACGAGAGTTGGTTCGTGCTTTCCCCGACGTTCGAGACAAAATTCGGGCCATCGGGGGCTCAGCCGGCTAGGGGTCTCTTCGACCGAAATTTTCGCAGTAAACACATCTGTGGTGATTAGTGCGATGCCGTCCATCTGGCAGGAGCCAAACTGTACGTCAATGCCCTAGTAGGCTTCGGGCTTATCCGCACAGGTCCAATGCAGAGCTTGCGTGATTTATTTGCGCCGTCTGGCAATCGTACTACCTTTACAGTCTGTGAGGGGTTGAAGATATGAAACATCCCATCCATCCAGAAATTCACCAAGTCGCCGTCCCATTGCCCGATGGCTGCCATTCATATTTTGTATAGATGATCTAGAGCTTTGCCTGCGGGTCCGAAATCAGGGACATGCACTTGCTCTCAACAGCAGAGATCTCCGAGTCTCAAACGAGGACGACTTCGCCTCTGCTGGCAGAGTATTCTGCAGCCAAGGCATACGTGGAAAAGCTTCTTGACATCCCCAACCTTTCGTAGCTAGGAGTTCAGGGGCTCTGAAGGAATGCGTTTATGTTTGAGAGATCTATGTGAACTGTTGGACGTGTGAAAACTTTAGAGACATTGGGCTGCCGCTGCTGCTGCTGCTGCCGGTTGTCCTGATAGTGGCTGTGGTGGCTGTGGTGGTGACGGTGGCGATGATGGTTCCGATCGTGATGATGCTGGCTCTTGATTATGATGACATCGGCGACATGACGAAGACGAAGACGATAGCACGGACGGTGAGTGTTTTCGTACGTTTTATGCCCGCACTCAGCATATGCGACATTGCGATAAACAGCAGATTCAAAGGCACAAGGTCTCACGTCCCACATGCTTGTGGACTGAGCACCGTGATCTCAACATTCGCTTCAGCACCTGCAGTCTCGGAGTTCAAATTGAACACATTCATCCTTTGCAGAACAACAGTATCGATGTGCCAATCTCCGAAAGCCCGACTGGCGTAGTGATCCAGAGGTTCTCACAAGGCCTTGCCGCCGAGTTGGCACCAAAGGGCATCGACGTGCAGGCCCGGTAGTGGCTTTGTGCAGGGTTAGGTGCCTGGGGCTCATGACTTGTTGGCTTGCTGGATAGGGCTCCCGACCATGAGAGGGGCAGAACTCCTACAAACCTACACACCCAAGCTCATGAAGTTCAGGCATAAACACCATGAGCAACCCCATCGAACGATGAAGCAGAAAATTCGGTGCTCGCGATTTTCGATTGTTTCAGATGCATGAGGGAGCTCCAAGCAGATTCAGCTGTGTATCCTGCGCTAGGACCAGCTCGGAGTGCTAGCGAATTCTGACTTCGGGACTGACTTTGTCCGAGCGAATAATGCACTGAGTGTGAGTCAGTGTCTGTGTGTTTGTGTGTGTGTGTGTCAGTTAGACATCGAACTGAACAAACGACAACCGAGCCGAATCAGGCACAAACACCGCTGTTTGTCACCACGAAGATGGCCAAGATCAGGTGTGGATGCAGACACTTTTGCACTTCCTGCACCTCTGAACGTCTTGCCTCTGGTATACTGCGTTCAGGGCCTGACTCTGGCACCACATTCCACCGAACAACCAAGGAACCCTCCATCTCCTCATTGCTCATTAGATAGCATGTGCCTCTGGGAATGTCCTTCCGACAGGAAGGCCTCTATGACAGTGCCAACGCCGGAGGATTACGTGAAGTGTGCTGCACGTCAGATAGGGTATGATCCAGTTATCTCACCATGGCCGCCAGCCTGCACAGCTAGTTTTGGTTTTCGCGACCGGCAGAGGGCGAGAGAGAGAGAGAGAGAGAGAGCCGTAGCCATTTTGGCTCAAG